TAAAAAGACATACCATGTTCTTCTTCTCCAAACCACCAATGATCCTATCAATAGCTGCCTCAAAATGTTTCATTTTGACTTGGGTTTCCTCACCCCTTGCAGCAATCAGAGCAGCCTCATTGCAAACATTAGCAGTGTCAGCTCCAGCAAATCCAGGAGTAAGGGCTGCGAGCCTTTGAGAATAATATGAAGGCTCATGGTCAAGCTTGATCTTTTTCAAGTAGATTTGAAAGATCTGGTCACGGCCTTTAATATCAGGTTTGTCAATGGATATCTGGCGGTCAAATCGCCCAGGCCTAAGTAGAGCTTTGTCTAAAATATCAGGCCTGTTTGTTCCGGCCAGAACAACAACTCCAGAAGTAGTTCCAAAACCATCCATCTCCACCAACAATTGATTTAAAGTACTTTCACGCTCGTCATTTCCTCCTGAGAAACCACCACGTCCTCTTGCTCGACCAATTGCATCAATTTCATCAATAAATATTATACTAGGAGCACACTGCCTTGCTTCCTGAAACAAGTTTCTCACCCTGGATGGTCCAACACCAACAAACATTTCCATGAAATCAGAACCAGATATGGAAAGAAATGGCACACCAGACTCCCCTGCAGTTGCTTTTGCTAAAGGGGTTTTTCCAGTGCCAGGAGGACCCACCAAGAGAGCACCTTTTGGAATTTTTGCACCAAGTTCTTCATATTTTTTTGGGTTCTTGAGGAAGTGCACAAACTCCATAATTTCTTGCTTTGCCTCATCGCAACCAGCAACATCCTTGAAATAGACCTGAACAAAATGAACAGAAATGAGAAAAATATAGTCTCTTAATTGACTTTACAGCTAAGTTATTCACCACCACTTCTTAAAAGAAATAACTATAACTAAAAAGGCAAACATGCCAAACGAGAGACATGCTGTTAAAAACAAATTAAAAAAACAGAGGGCTGTCTCATATATAGAAGAAAAGGAAATCTACCAACCTTGTTTTTGGCATTTTTGTCTAATTTAGTTGCATGAACTTTTCCTATGTTGAATATTCCACGAGCATTCTTTCCACTGCCACCAACAGTAAGACCATCTAGCGTCCTCTTTCCGATATACAAGAGGAGTCCCAAAACCAAAAGTGTTAGTACAATTCTCATCAGTTGCACAACCCAAAGTGAATCATAATAAATAACATGGACATAATCATGAGGGTCAATGCCTAGTGCTTTTTGCACTTCCTCTAGCCTCTTCTCAAAAGACTCAACACTTTCAATAAGGAAATAATATCTATATTGGTCTCCAGATCTCTTTGCAGGAGGGAGGGTCCCTTGGACTACTTCACTGTCTGGTTAGTTACAGGGAGCGCTGCGAACATATACACTGACAAATGATTTGTCAAAGACAACAAGTTTCCCTACTAATCCTGGTTCCAAAAGCTTGGTTTTAAACTCCTGAAAGCTAATCTTGCAAAATTCAAATTCTAGTCCATGTCAGAAAAATGATAACAACGAAATGAAAGATAAGAAAGCTACAAAAACCAGATGCAAACACTCATCTCATTGCCAAATGGCAAATGATTGTATTCACACCCTAATTATCATGCAAAGGCACCCTCAGAACAAAAGAGAACTAGAAAAATATCAAGCATAGTTCAAAAGCCAAGCTATTTTAAGACTTGCAACCAGATGCATAATGAAGCTTCAATCTAAGCAGGCAATTCCAGCAGCATATAGAGTCTAACAGAAAAAACTCAAATCTTATCTCTCATAATCTCCCGTATATTTCCATTTTCTCCCATTCATCAAGAGTTTCAAGATAAGCGTGGCATTATGGCATATAGAGTCTAACAGAAAAAAGTTCATTTCTCAAGCATTTGAAACATTGCACTCAGCACTCGTCATATAGAATGTATAAATTCATACATTTCGTTTCTCAACTCAACTCAACCCAAATCCACCCACATAAACAAATTAAATCCACTACTGGCCCTGGTAATACATTTGAAGTAATGCTTACCTGGTCTTGTTTAAGAGAACTCAGATAACGGAAAGTAAAAAATAGCCCCATCACCAAAAATGGGGTGCTTATTTTCAGAAATTTCTCTATAAAATCTCCTTCAAAAGTTTCATGATTATCTGCATCTGTGTTTGAGTCGTCTGACATCAAAAGGATAAGTCAAGGGTTAAAAGTTGTTAGTGGTGCCACTTTATTGCAAGATAAACTGGAATGCAGATATATGATAAATCATTGCAGACCAACAAAAGAGAGAGAGAGAGGGAGAGCATATTTTTGGATTGAAACATAAATTTCAAAACCCAAAATGTCCATTCTGTGAAGTTTTGATTTAAAATTGGACTCAACCGAAAATTGAACCTTGGCCATGGGCAAGAAGAATTGGATCCTACTTGATTCTCCATCTTCCCATCACAAATGAAGTTCATGCGTTAAATGCAATAAAAGAATAGCTCAACTCTAAAAAGTCTAGACTAACAAAAGACGAGCAAACCATCTCAAGTTCCAACATGGCAGAAAACTACATATAAAAATTATAGCAAATAAAGGATAACAAAACCCCCGCATGAGTATATATAAATCAAAACACACGAACACACCAGTGAACAACGCATGAATAATCAATATCTAAGTCATGAGAAAGGCATCCTTCCATTTTGCTCATTACATCAGTTGTGACCATCACTTTCAAACAATTCGCCATGACAGCTTCCTAATTCAGAATAAGAAAGGGTGACACACCAGGTTTCTCTTTTACCTTGGGACTCATATTTGTTGTCATTTCCATTTGGAATTTCCTTCTGTTCCTTGGGATAGAAGTTCTCATAATCTGCCAAAAAGGAGAAATATTAATCAGAACACTAACTGAAGCACAGCACTGTAATCCAGAAGCAAAGTTGCTGAAGGCAATCGAAGCAGCTTCAATCGCACTCTAACGGCCAATAAAACTTACTCTTCTTCTTTGGGGCTTCGCTGGACAGCAATCGATGAAGCCTAGGTTTTGCGGCAGCACATTTAAAATCAGGGAAATTGGAAACGAGGGCATTACTGCGACCTCTGGCAGAAGACAAGTAGCCCCTAAAAAAACCCTAATAGCCCTTCGGCTTCGTCGGAATAGACATTCGCACAAGGCGCTCCGAGAAGGGTTCCCAGTCTCCGATCACCATGCGAAAAAATCTATGACCCATTTAAGAGCGTCGTCGAAGTTAAAGTATTGTTGGTTTGCTCGTAAATTTGTGCATTGAATTGAGTGAAAGAGAAGCGAAAGCTTACTCTGGCACGAGACGAGCGCGAGAAGGAGCACCCAATCCTTGAAAAATTCATGCTTGGAGGAAACAATGTTATCTAATTCTCTGTCACCGCTGATAAGATCAAAAGATGTTTTTTTTTTTCTATAAACATGTTGGCCAAAGCCCAGGAAACAAATATTGTTGCTATGACAGCATAGAACCAAAGGATAAAGTATGATCAACGAATTCGGTAATATCAAGCAGAGTTTGTTGCAACGAACGAGCAAGCACCCTCCACTCTTTGAGTGTTAAGTCAACGGAGCTGCACGATGGCTTTGTTTTCTGAAACTTGAAATGGCAAACAGGTACGATTACGTGGATTTTTCTCGCAAAAAAGTGGGGGAAATTAATTGCTATGAGTGATTCTTTTAATATTTAGAAATTTAAATTATTTATATTTTTTAAATAAATTATTAATTTTATTATTTATTTATATAAAATTAACAATAATAATTATTTTATAAAATATTCTTTTAATTTACAAAACAGTAAAAATTATCTTTGTAATTTATGTTATGCCATTTGCAACAATATATTAATCACTTACTTTTAAAATAAAGGATAAAATTTAAATGATAAAATCTTCTTAAAATTAATGAAATTTGAACCACTAAAAATATTGTCGTGTATGATATTATATTAAATTATTTTTATCTCAATTTTTTTGGTATACTTACATCTTAATAATATATCTCAAAAACATAAAAAGATCGATGCCTAAAAATATTCCATTATGGATGCTTAATAAATTGTTTTCTTATAAATACAAATAAAATAATAATAAATGATAAATTATAAAATAATAACTTAAAATCATATTCGCTGATCTTGTATAATTATAACTTTACATTTTTTAATGATAATAATTAAAATTATATTTGACACATTATTTGTGATAAATTTAGAGATATATTTACTATCACTTCTAAATATTTATTATTATTTTTTAAGTGACTTTTATCTAAAATATCATCTTCTCTCTCTTATAATCCTACTAAATTTTACATAAAAATAAATAAATTAAAATGATAATAAGAACGTAAAAACAACAATACATACCCTCTAGATTTGGATCTCAAATAACTATATTCAATTTTTTTCTATTTATTGAATAAGAAGCGATGAATTTCTACAAACCTGTAAAATTATTTTTTAATTATATTAGGCGATAATTATTCATTTTAAGAGAAAATAAAATTTATATAGTTTCATTATTTTAATCAATGAATGAGGAAATAATTAGGTTAAAAATGCATCTAGCAACTCCTTCGGGACATTGCTAATACATGGTGGCTCATATACATACCAGCAGTGTGAGTGATTTTGTTGATACTACATCAATTCTATTATGAAAGTGAAAAACAAAAAGACAAAGACAACAAATTACTAAGCTAGAGAATGAGAGAAAATGAGAAACACATTATTTAAATTGAGGCATGTTATTATTAAACTTTGAAATGGAAGTACATTGATATTCCAGATGATATAACACCACCTACCTCTATTTTTCTGGAATCAGGTAGATAGTTAAGTCATCCCGAATCTCAAATCAATACAAATAAAGATAAACTGAAATGCCAGTACTGACGACTCTTCACTCTTTGATGGTAGGCAAACCAAAAATCCGGAAATTAACTTAGAATTGGGAAATCAAAAGGTGCAGAAGAAAGCTTCTTTAGGAAGAAAAAATTGGCATGAGGGTAGTGATCCAGAAATCATCAACATTTAGGGAGATCAGCTGGTGGAGGAGGCAACTTTTGATTAGGGAGCTTCCCATCCTCAACAATCCAAGCCATCCTCAACCCCCAGCTAAGGTGCACATCAAAGTGGCAGTGCATCAACCAAACACCTGTTTTGCACATATAACTCATCAAATTGATTAGTATGTGGATCACCAATAAAATAACTAAAATTGAATTGTGTGCAATGTGTTAACCCTAAAAAAAGAAAGAAAAGAACATAAATATAGTTAATTTTTAGTTTAAGAAAAAATTATCCAAAAAGTTGATCAAAGTAAATAAAGAAAAATATTCTTTTGTGAAAATATAAAAGATTTATTCTCTCCTAATGTTAAATAAGACGATATGATTATATTAACGTGAATAAAATACACAATTTTTAATCAACTTTAACCAGTGAAACTTATAATATTCAATTAGGATGGATCATATTTGATAAAAAAAAAATTGTCTTTCTTTCTCTGACGTGATTATATCATATTACTTATAATCATGAGAGAATTCAAATTAGGATATATGAATGATATATAATAATTGCTTGAGTGTGAGCACCTGGGTTGTCAGCAAGGAATCGAATTGCAACCCAACCACCAGAGGGCACACCAACAGTGTTCCTTTCAACGGGGTCAACAAGATTGAATTTTGGAGGGTCAGTGTTAGGATTGAAGTTTCCAAAACCTTGACCCACAACATAGAAATTAAATCCATGAAGGTGCAAGGGGTGGCTCTCAGCTCCCAAAATGCTTGTGTCTTGGAGCACCACTTGCACTCTAGTGTTAAACGGAATCACCACTGTTTTGGTTCCATTGGTGACCCTTGTGTTGTTTGGTGGGGTCCCTGTATAGTTAAATGGCATCAATGGAACAACTGGGAAATCAGTGGTGTAAATACCATTATTAGCTTGCCCTAAGAAATGTTGTTGAAGAAGTGCCACAGAAGGTAGAGCAAAAGATATGTTGTTTATGGAAGCAGCAAACTTTGAACTATTGTTTGGTCCTTGGCAGGTTTGATTTTTTGGGCATGGACTTGTTCCAAGTCCAACCGTGAAGAAAAAACTCTTGTCAATAGTTTGAGGCACGTTGGCACGGTACTTGGCACTATTCAAACTTCGAAATTTGCTACTGAAGTTGGCAACAAAGGAAGTGTCATTGATGGCTGGAAGTGAGGGTTTCAAAGGGGTAACGTTTTTTAAAGCAAGTGGTTTCTTGTACTCTAGAATGCCAGCAACTGTGGAATTGTCAAAGGTTCCCATCCCAGTGAAATATGGTCTTGCTAGCATGAAGAAAGTGGCATTTGGGTATTGTGGTTTTGTCTTTAATAGAACATTTGAGGTTTGTCCTGGCCCAATGAGTATGATCTCAGATTCAAATGGTTTAACGTAAGATGCATCAGCTTCAACGGTTACCAGGGTGTGGTTTGCAATGCTGAAAAAAAGTTCATCGTTGAGTGCAGCGTTGATCAAACGAAGAAGATATGTCTTCCCTGGTTTCACCCTTAACCTGAATGTGTCTGTCTCTGTTGACCATGATCCGCCATGCACATCAAAACCAATTAATTCATTATCAGTACTTAGTAATTAACAACTCAATAAATATTACTTCTTAGTCGTATTTATTAAAAAAATATTTAATTAATATGATTCTAATTAATAAGTTCGATTGATCTCTTTTACGTTACATTAAATGAATGAAAATATAAAAAAATATTAACAACTAATATATTTATATTAAATCTTTTTTTATAAATAGAACCCAAAGGATAGTATATTTTTAGAAGATCACTAGTTGTACCTATTAATATAACCCTAGTGAATTTGTTAGTTAGGTTATAAATATGGTTTAGGGAAAATTGACTTATTTTTCATTAAGTAGCTTTTTTCTATGGGTTAATATTAGTTTAAGTAGCTTCAAGAAACTGTTACCGTTATTGGAGCAATTGTAGAGGGGTCCAGGAAGTCCGTTGATTGTGTAGGCATCAGAGACATTTGGGCCAGCACCTGTCTGAAGGGCTTGTGCAATGACAGCTTCTGGATCCACATTCCACCACTCACCTACATTGATCATTAAAAGGATAAAGATCAAAAAGATTATTTCTTTTTCGTTATCATTTTCTTTAAAAAATATAGAGAAATGAAAATGCAAATCATTGTGTTGAAATTAGAAAAATTTGTGTAAAATATAAATGGCTGAAGTATGTACCAAAGAGGATGGGGACTTCCTTGTAGGGTTTCTGAAATGGGTAAGATTCGTTGCGCCTAGGGAGGAGGATAAGAGGTCCATATAAAGTGGCTCTTAACCATGAAATGTGGGCATGCCAAAAGAGAGTCCCTCTTTGCCCAACAATGGTGAAGTTGTACACATAACTCTGGCCAGTTTGAATGGGGCATTGAGTTATGTAAGATGGACCATCTGACCAACCACTTCGAAGTTGTCTCACTCCATGCCTATTTTTGTTCTCATCCAAACCATTATTGTCAAGAGGATACGTTAGTTACCAGCCACACAATATATATAATCCAACGCATGCATGGGCATATCCTAGCTAGAAGATGCACAACATACCATAGAAATGCTAAAAAATATATGATCATTATTTTGTACTGGCTTGTCTTAGAGGCCAAGAATAATTAATGAAAAATCATGAGTTAAAGAAATCAAGTTCATACCAGTGTATGCTGACATTATTTGGAACATGATTAACCACCTTAACTACTATTCTATCACCTTCTCTTGCAACAACTCTAGGCCCAGGGAATTTTCCATTAACAGTGACTACGCTTTTAGTGTGACATAGTCTTGTAAAGTTTTTCAGCCTTATCTGCAAAAGTAATAAGAAATCGATTAGTAACACTTTTTCCGCACAAAGTCGTAGAAATTGGTGGGCATTTAGGCTAATTTAGTTTAGCCGCGTTAATTGGCTATAAAATCAGGTGTATATATATATTGTGAATATGTTTTTAACTAATTAATTAAATTTGACACGTACAACTGTAAATAAATAGTTTAGATCAACTCATCTCACTTTGTACATGTGTATATATGTAATAAAGAAGAGTTAAAAGATTAACACATTTTTTATTATTAATTAAAATTTATTAAAAACTATTAAAAATATGCAAATGAATCATTAAATTAAAAATAAGACTTACAAGTTTTTTTTTTTTAATAAATTTTGACTAATATATTCAAAAGTGTATTACTAACATTTTGCAGTATAAGTATGATTGCTAGCAATACACTTTTCAATACAATCTTTATAATTAATTAAATTAAAAATTAAAAAAGACAAATTAAGTATCACTTTTTTAGAAGTAAACTAATAAAGAGTATACTGAATAGTGTATTCAAAATCGCATATTGCTAGTACTTGTCATATAAGTATACAATGCTTACATCAAACTTATAGTGCCTTGTGACACTTCCTTGCTTTGAAGTAGCCAGAACAACTTCAGGAAAGGTCGAGAGGAAGCTGGTAGCAAAGAGGAATGCCACAAAAAATGCTGATGATGAAGGAATAGTTGCAATCATTTTGTTCTGCACAAACGTTGTCTCGGGTCGCAAAGAGTGAGTGAGTAAGTGAGTTTGGATAAAAGAGAATTTGTCACACTGACTGCATGTTGAACTCGTTTGTATATATAGAGTAGTTTGAGACACAAATTACAAATTAATGTTTGGTCGAATAGGTTTATCTTAGTGTGTCCATGTTTCAAAACAAAGCATACCCGAATAAGATTGGCTTTTACCTACTCTGTATGGTCCCATTTTTTTTCTTATACTTTGGAGTGCCACTAACGTTAATTTACATTTTTTTGTCTCACTTACTTGCCCATTTCTTACTCCCTAATTACAGGTTTCTTTTCCATGTGCACCCAACATCTGCTGTTCATGTACTTTTGCCAACGATTTATTTTACAAAAGTGGTCTCCTAGAAAATTTGGAAAAAACAAAACAAAACCAATGCATTTATTAATTAATTGAAAGTGCAAATAGAAACAAGTTGCTGACAGGTGTAAATTAAATTACATGGCTTGTACGATATTACTAATGAGTTCGAGTTTGTGTAAATTAAAGAGTAAACTTGCGGTTATTACGTTATAATATCCAAAAATATGTGCAAATTTAGGTTTTATAAGAAACAATACTTAATTTTTGGTCAATAAAGTCATGGTGAGAGTGTATTACTTTGTAAACTTAAATTAACATACTAAAGGTGTGTTTAGATTTCCTCTAAAAAAAGTCTTACCCATGATTTGAGATTCCAAATTGCAATTCAAACACACTAGAACACAACTGAGTTTGAAAATAGTAAAATCATAATGTATTTCAAGTTTTCCATTGTTAGTTGGCAGAATTTGTGAGAATTGCATATCAGTAAAAAAAATGAAATTTTGGTGTGGAAATATTTTTTATAAACTTATAATTGATTTTTTTAATGTGTATTCACGACACATAATAAAAAATTATATATAATATTTTTTATTAAAATTATAAAACATAATGCATTAAAAATAAAATTTCTTATTTTACATTGTTAACTGTAAAACCGATTTATAATTTGATAAAGCGATTGTTTGCAGGCTCAACCATATCCACGTATAGTTAAATTCGTTTAGGAGGAAAATGGCATTTTTCAAATCAACCGTTAAGGCTTGCTAACTAAGCCATACTAATAATTCCAAATCCTTCTCAAAAAATTCACTTAGCTCAAGTCACATTAATCATCTCATTTTCACTAAAGACTTAATTGGGTGTGCCTGGTTGGTGATGGCACACTTCTCAACTAAACAGTACCGTAAGTAAGTGAGTCAGAGCCAAAAGAAGGAGAAGGACATTTGATCAACCTTTTCTTCTAGCAAGGAAAATAAAGGACACATAATCAGGCACAGAGTAGGTTCTCCGGTTAATTAGTCTAGGATCAACGTCCCTATCGTAGGCTTAATCACTAAGATAGAAAGATTAATTATAAAGCCAAAATAATCAAAGCAACATTGACAACAATCTACGAACTTTGATATAAATTGGGCTTTTGAAATACATCTCTGTTCTGGGGACCCACAGAACTCAACTTCTATTAGTGAAAAATAACCGAATTTATATTAACCATGAACTTACTTTGTAGTAATGCCTATTTTGTTACCATGATGGTTAAAAGGAAGAAGTCATAATTCATTTAGCTTGAGCAACGAGGAAGATTTTGAGTTCGCAACTCTCTCTATTCTGCAAAGGGTCATAGCATTCTATATCTCACATAAACACTAATATTAATATACAATATTTATAGGTTCCAACTATAAAGGCATGCAAAGAAGTTGAAGCATGTTATGTAAGTTCTCTTTCAGTGTCTGACGAGTCAATGAAATTAGGCACTGCATTTATTCTTTCTTTAAGATGATTCCAAATATGGGAAGTTGCACATCTTACAAGATTACAGCATTAAAACCAGGTATTAGAGAAATGGAAGGCCAACTATAAGAAGCCTTTTGTGTAACCCTCTCCATTTGACTGTTGCCCAAAACTTCCTTTCACGCCCTACTTAAATTATTTAAGACATACCCATAGAAGATAGTATTATCTTATTTTTCTACACCCTTTTAGCTACCAAACATTCCTTTCATAAACTAAAATGCAAATGTTAGACAGAATTTATTATAGATGGCTTTATTCATCTAAAATCAATCCATCAGTTTTCTGTCAAATTCACAATGATGGATTGAGTTCATATTTGATACTAAACAAACTTAAAATCTTCATTGTTTACTATTTTTCAATGTTCCTTGTCTTGAGCCAAGTGCAATTGCCAATTCATTTATCCCAAATAGTATGATAGAGATTTGATTTAATACTTCTTTGCGTCTGATCAAGAAAAAACGTGATGCTTTTTTATTTTAAAATTTAAAGGATAAATACAATACTTCATCACATGCAGCACAATGAGTGACTGATCAAATGAGGCCAAAATGAAACAAATACTTAAAAAACACTGTATGGATAGTACTGTATTTTGAAATCATGCAGTAGTCAAATACTATAATGTTTTAGCATGTTAGTATTAAACTTCATGTTTCAACTGGCGGTGGCGGATAAACCTAGTTATACATCCTAGAACTAGAATTTAATCTATACCAATTTAATATCTACAAAATAACAAGTAATGAAACATTTTTATTTTGGTACAACAATCAAGCGCCAACATAACAATTATCCGATTTTAAGACTTGACTGACATCAAAATTCAGTTACGGTTTATTCTCTCTCCAATGTGTACAATCGAACCTGTTCTCTGCATTCATAACTTTTGCTGACGATTTATATTTTCACGAATGAATAAACTGTGCTACATATCCATCACGAAAGACCCAACCACCATCATTTGTTGAAGTCCCACATTCACTGTATGGCTGAAACAAAAATTATAATAAACCTTAAAATAACCTTCGCTTTACGCTCTAACTTTTAGGTTGAATTAAGCATAAACTCAAATTTAAAGTAATATCAAAAGGTCTAGATTTAATAATAGGCTACCTTTAATTGAAAAAAACAAATGACCCCACAAATTTTTCTATAACAGTTAACCTAATCTAGCTCTACTATTTTCGTAGATTCATTAGATCTATAGAACTGTTCACATGGATTCACTTGGCCGGATTTGAGTTGGAGGCATGCATTAATAATAGGCATTGGTTGAGACGATCACATGAAGGAAAAATTAGCGTTATCGTACCACAAAATTTTAGAAATTAGTGCTTAGGACAAAATCATTTTTCTTGGTTTGAACGCAAAACAAAGGCGACAGAGAAAAACATTTTGGAAACTTTACAAGAGAACAAGTATTTTACGCATTTATATAGTCACAACTAATCACCCTTGCCTAAGTGGGCCTAAGTATAATTAATCCAAATCTTATTTAAACTTTGTTAAGTCAGAAGTTGTAATGGTGTTCATTCAGAGACCATGCCTGAGGATCGAGATGGACTTGAGTGCTCCTCAAAAAGAAAAATGTTAATCTTTATAAGATAAGATGCATCACACCATCCTCACTTCTCACTTAATTACATCAATGTCATTGCTATATTATATATACATCAAGTAATAAGCATGTTACGGAAAATCTAAGAAATTTTGTGGATACAGAGGCTACACCCTTTTTGTTAGGTGAAGTGGCTAAACATGGTCTGCATTCTTCTTATACTCATGCCAAGCTTAGTGTATACGCCAATACCAAATAATATATACATACTTGTACATAAGAAAAAGTGCAGTTTATAGCCATATATGAATAACGCTACACAATATCTGAACCGTTGGTCTCGCTCTCCCTGCTTCCACCACTTATCGACCCTATTCTAAATTTGCACACAGGACATGTTCCTTGTTGCCGGAGCCATGGATCAATGCAATTGGCATGAAACTGAAAGAAGATCAAGAAGGAAAGTAGTCATTAATGACATAATCACGATTTACAGCATTAAGTAATATTGAAGTATTAGTCAGTTCAGTGAAGGATGAATGAGTTGGAACGAAGTTAAGTGGCGGTAGTTATGTTTTAATTATGCAAAACGATTACAGATTTGAAAATGAATCAAGTTTAGTAGAAAGCAGAGATATATGCTAAGTAGAATTGATTATTATGTGTTAGTTAGGCACGTTGAGGAGAGTGTTTTGGAAAAAATAGAAGCACAATCCTGCCAAAAGCACAAGAACAACAACGAGCAACTAATATTGACTACATTTATTCAGCAATTTTAACTGAATATGGCATTGATTATCATAAAATAAACCTGATAATTCAAGAGACAAGTACTAATTTCCATTAGTGGTAAATAATTAAAAAAAATTGAAGAAAGAAAAAGATAGGCAATGAATGAACCTGATGCAAGCATGGCAAACTACGAATAAGCTCCCCTCTTTTGACTTGGTCTAAGCATATAGTACATGTCAACTCATCTTCTGGACCTTTGATGATACCTGCCTCTGTTCCTCCACATTCCTGTTTAATCTGATTGAAACATTAAAGAAAGTCACAAAAAAATCATTTTCATTCAAGGAATAAGAAGGTTGGGAAGCCACTGAGACTGAGAGGAGGCAATTTCAACCAAGATCTTCCTAAGAATACAAAATAGTCACTTTATTTATTTACATAATGATGCAGTAACCAACATACACTACTAGTGGGAATGGAATAAAATATAAGCAATTTTTTTTATAAAAGCATATCAATAAAGAGGACATCACAAAGGACTAAAAATCAAATAATTTGCAATATATATGCCAGGGAATTTCCAAAAATACTTGTGGCAGTCAGCAACTTCATACAGAACAACCGGTGGTGCATGAAGCTAACAATCGAGTAAAACAAGTGATACTTTAACATCATCATTACCATGAACACCATAACACAAATAAACTAGTGAGACTGAAAAAACCAAAAGGAGAAACAGAGATAAAAGATATTTACCTCAGCTGCACCTGAAGAGGATGCCAAACCAGCTGAGCCATCTCTGTTAACATAACAAATTTTATCAATTTATTATTATGGTTTAGCTCTTCTTTACTTAAACATAGTCCCACACAGGAGAAAACTAAACCTGTTGACCACTTATCCTTCCTTGAGAACCTTAAACATATAAAAAGAAACCTAATACCGGTGCACTTATTTCAATAAGCTTTTACTGAAGAAAAGTGCTAAAAACATACTATCTAACACGCTCTTTCAAACACACTATTATATGCTAAATTTATTGGAAATCATAAAAAAAAACATGTGAGTTTCACTCTTAATTTAATGATTCTCACTTATACTTTGTAATTTCTAATAAATTTCAGCTAACAAGAAAGAGTATGTTAGAAAGTCTGTCACATTCCTCTTTATCAAATAGTGTTTCCTGAGCCAATAACAGTGCAGCCTCTTTCTTGCAAACGGTAAACTAGTAAGCATGAGTGCCAATAAGTCCTTCAAAATCATCATTTTATTACCTAGTGCCAGTGATTGTTTCTTCTGCATGACATATAATTTACCACGAATTTTGTATGAACATTAGCAAGAAATATTTAGTTTTCTAATTTGAGTCGCAACTGATGGTGTCTGCACACTATATTCCACAAAGTTTTCAAAATACAACTCAGCAGCTTCACGGTGGCATGCCTATTTCTGCCTGGAGTAAGATTTATGTTTCACATTCAATGGGTTTCTAAAACAAAATACTGTGGAGTTTAAAATCACTAACAACAATTCAGCTGTTGGTGCGTTCTACAGAACAGCAGAATAGGACGAAGTGACCCTCCAAACATTGACCTATAAAAGAAAAATAGAGACAAAAAATGCACACATATGCAGCATGCCAAATTCTGAATTATTGGTATTATTATTTCTTTTAAGAAAACAATCAGAACTCACTTTGTAGGAGCTGGAACTTTATATGTGTGAATAGGCAAGGCATTTATCTCTTCGTCCGTCATTGAATGAGTACTCGAAGCAGTATCAGAGTCTAGAGCTCTCAAAGTGTCATAATCTGCCACAAAATCAAGCAAAAAGCTTATGAATATGCATATTTTAACAAAATTAAATATTTACAAGCCTTTATTGTTTTCCGCACCCATTTTAGGCATCTTCAACATAGAAAAGATATCAAAATAAATGTCCAGAGGTGAAACTCAGAAGAATAATACCTAGCTCATCAAATTCACGGTCAAGAAGTGCAAGCTGAAGTCTAAGTCCCTGCAATCTTCCTCGAGTTGCAATTGCAATCGAGGACGGCATGTGAAGACGGAATTCAGTATGGCCAAGCAACCCAGAGGCTGCAGCAGCATGAATCCTGGTCTGTGCTTGAAGCTGTTGACAAGTTGCATACATCCTCAGACTTGTAGCCATCACAAAGATAGCCAGTACAACCCAGAGCTGAAAGGATTTGTGCAACAATTACTTCCTTAATTTAATGCAGAAGAGAAAGTAAAATCCCAAATAGTGATGGCATCAAATTTAGCAATATTTTAAGTGATTACTCACCAAAAAATGATGTAACATCTGAGGGGAGTTTAATATCATGAATATCAAAATAACTGCCAAAGAAGCATGTCAGATACAGATTAAGAAACTACTCGCATGAAGCAGTAAAGCATTAGACACTGTAGTGATTACATCACCTGTAATAAGAAAAGCTAGAGAATTGCTATTAACTGGCCTAGCTGGATGAACCCTCTGATAGAAAAAGAGGGAAAAAGAAGCATTAGAATTACAGTCCAACTCTAGCTTTAGAAAACAGAGGGAATTGCTATTAACTCATTACAATTTGAAATGAGTGAGGAAAAAAGCGAGCGCACACACACACACACACACACACATTAAGCATACCATGGAGGTTCTTTCGGGAACATATTCTGAAAATCCACTTTCAATATCTCCCCTACCCCCTCGGAAGACAAAACTCATTTCAAACAACTCTTTCAGCTGGCAATACCTGCAAAAATTGTGCCAGGCACTAACTTCGGTTATTGATATTTTAAAAAATACAATACACAAATTCGGATACTAATCAAAACGAAGCATACAAACAGAAATCCACGCTTGAATTTCTGAACATTGAATAACTGATCACAGCAAAAATCATTTCTATAGATTAATGATTAAATGCAGCAAAGATCATTGTTATTCTTTGAAGATTGAATCATAAATCTCATCCCATAATCCCACAAACCACAGCAGTTATAGCAAAATTGCAAAAAATATATGTATAGATGTATAATAACTGAGGTTAAACTAACTTGTAAAAAAAAAAAGGAGTAAATTACTCTCCCCAGCATCCAAACACATAGTACGGTAAAAAAGCCATAAACGTACTTACCCAAATCAAATTTTCCCCAAACGGAGTGTTGTTCAGAGTGGAAGAGGAGCTGTAATTGTACTTATACCAAATGTGACAGACAGGTATAGCTTCGTTACTATCTACGTTGTTGGTGTTGGATGACGTGGGGTGGGGTTCACTGCTGTGCTGTAATATAAATCAAATAAAAGAAATGCCATTTACAAAAACATTGTAGTAAACAAAACGATACGATTTTATATAGTCTACACTTTGTTCTTAATAATTAATTATTCATGTGAGCTTTTCTCCATAACAAGCGTTAAATATTTGATTTTTTTATTGTTAGAAAAAGAAAAAGAAAAAGGGTAGACGTACAAGAAACAATTTATTTATTTGGAAATGGTAGGTTGTAAATTCAGGAGAAGTCTAGAGTTTAGGAGATGCCACGTCGAGTTGTTAATTATGGAGCCGTTGCGTTGCTATTGCCACGCCTCCTTCGCATGCAGAAAGGTGCAACCTTCGCCGATGGAAGCTCACAACCAACACCGACATGCCCCCAATAAGTAATTCCTAGCTTTTACACCCAAACTATCTACAAATTTTGACTTAATTGATGGATGATTAAATCTTCTAATGTGGTGATTAAGATTTTATTTTCACCATATATAAGAAACCTTTTATTAAAGAAGATACAATTTGTTTTGATAATTTATATATTTTAAAAGGAATTAACTCTCTGAAGTTTGAAAATTGATCTTCGGTTGTAAGTTAAGATATCATTTCAACAATGAATGATGGAAGATACCAGTGAATTTCGATTCTAAAGATTTTTTTTAAATGAAAACATCAACATTGATATTAATAAAACCGCACTGTGGCTTTGATTGGAAGGGAATATAATGGAGGAGAGTTTTTTTTTTTTTAAAAATTTACGTCATTTAGCTCAAAATTTTGGAAAAAAGAAAAAGAAAAGTAAAGAGAGAGTTAAAATTCTTTTTTTTTTTTTTGCATTGTTTTAAAAATAGGAGAAATTTAGAAAAAAATATTAATTTTTTATTTAAATGACTAAATTGTTTAGAGATTGTTTTTACATTTTAAAACTTTTTATATTATTTTAAAAATTCGTGCATCTCTTTTGTAGATGCAAATCAGTCTTCTTTTATTCATTATTTCTCTATGCATATGTATTTTCATTATTATATTGTCACTCTTTTAGCTTCGTTGTTTTACAATTATTTGATCTTGGTGTATCAGCTGTGCTCTTCCATTATTTTTCTTTTTTTTTGTCAATTATTTGTTTTTATTCTTGATTTTTAAAATTGTTTTTATATTTATACACACATATATATATATATATATATATATATATATATTATTCAGTTGCCCTTAGACAATTAATCATCGTAAGTTGTCCAGTTCGACAGTACATAAATCGTTGTCAGTGATAAAAGTTCGAGAACAAAATCATGAGAGGGTAAAAAGGTTTCGTTCAAGATGTTTGTCAGATAATGAATTTTTTTTCACAATTTTCATGGTAAAAGAATATAATAATAATTTATAACTAGCTGGTTGAATTATAATTATTAAATCAAATTAATTATAAAAATAAAAAATTAAAAAAAACTAATAATTAATTTTTAACAAGTTTATTGTGACTTGAAGTAACTTTTTACGAATAATACCACGTGGCCTCTCTGTATTTCCATTAAAATTGTTGTTTTGACATAATTAATATTTTGTTCCTTCTCACAAAACAATGTAACGGAACTGGCTAATAGAACATAGTATCATCCCTTGAGAGAAAGGTGCGCAGTTTAGGGGAGTACGCAATGGGTCACTTAATATAGCACGCAAGACTTCTTCGGACAAGTTGGTATTCACTTCACGCAAAGCCACTCTTAGGCCTTAGCCCAGCTAAAGAGTGAATCTCTCGTTTTTCTTTGATAATTGCGCGTTTATGGTGGAAGAGGGTTTAGCCCTCCAATCATGCTTAATTCTAGTTTTAATTTACCAATTATACTTGCTGTTGGTTTTTAATCAATGTTAATTGTGTTGGTTGCTCAAGTGCTGGGCTCTTGATGGATTCAAGAATAGGTGAAGGGAAATTCGAAACTTAAATGAATTAAATTATACATTAATATTTTTTATACAATGTATAAGTATTTTTGAATTCAGATAACGTTTAAAGATATTAAAGAATTATTAAGGAAGAGGAAGAATAAAATATAATAGAATACATTCTTGACAATTATTATATTCTTTTGTTATGTAAGAATGTAATTTTAAAAAACAAAGTTTATAAATTGATAATATAATAGTATGAATAGATATTAATTTCTTAATATATCAAAATTTAAATTTTTGAATTTCAAATTTCTAATATGAAATGACCCGATAGTTCAAGATTCATTCGGGGCTTCGGGCTCTAAGGCTCATTAACTTTAAATTGATATTAGTTTGGCTTAATTTCAAAAAATTATCACTTGGATCAAATTGCATCTCTGGTTCCTCTAATTCAGGAACCGATTCGAGAATAACCAGACCTTCATAAATGAGAAGAAGACAAGTGCTTTCAAGGTCAACAATTGCAAACTGCGTTAGCCCAAAAGCATGGCAAACTAATATCAATTTTCAAACTTCAAATGGAAGTTGAAAAATTCAGAATCGCATTTGCATACCTTGTTCCAAACGCGAGAAAGTAATAAACAAAATACTGGATCAAATGGGATCTTCTAGGCATATAAACAGTAGTTGGAGACGTGTTTACGGCGACAATTAAAAAACAAAGCAGATAAATCAAAAAAGGGGAACCCTTTATGGAATCTGCTGCACCGCCAAGTAGAACTGTTATACCCTAATTGAACAAGACCATCAGAACAAAAAGAATAAAGACTAATGGTAAGGGTGAAAAATAGCCTTTATCTTTTGATTAAGTTGCTAGGAGAAGAGAAAAGGTGAAAAAATAGCAGGAACCAGCACCATTATCCAAGTTACAAATCATCATACAAACGAACAGCTAGCTCAAAATTAGAAGGAAAGTTATGAAACAATTAGAAACTTGGAAATTTTTTGATAAGATAAGATTACCCAAGTAGAACGATAGTTTTGCTGCTGTCCATTCAAATTGCATTTCCCATGTAAAAGAAATTACAAAGGAAAGTGACATGTGCATTACATAATATCTAATCATCGGCATGTTGTCAAAACATTATGGTGCAAGTTGAGAGAGGCATCTCGAAGAACATAATCTTGAAAGAATTCTAACAAATATATTAAAAAAAAAAAAAATAATTAAGTTCACGGGGGAACAAAGCATCATTCTTGTTTCCCAATGTCTGCCAGGTCCAGTGCTACAGTTAGTGGTGCCAACTGGAAAGCGCACAGATGCACATGCTTGTTCTTGTTCCACTCCCACAACAACAACAATCTTTATCAATTCTCAAAGCCCAAAATTTGCACCCTTCAGCGACCACATCTCAAGAACAACCATATAACGCAGCTAGCTTCTATTGCCTCATGAATCCCACAGAGAGGGAAAACTACACTTGCTTCTATAGTGCTATTTACAGTATGAATCCCATAACCCAAAGAGAAAAATAAAATAAAAAAAGTATTCTTTGCAAAATTTCCATGCTTGTCATCGATCAATCTTCCAAGACCCAAGTCCTGTTACGTCTCCGTGAGTTTCTATTGAACACTGAACTCACTTGGCTATGGCTTCTGCTCATTGAAACGTGCTCAGAGCTAGAATAAGATGACAAAGACGAAGAAGAAGAAGAGGACCTTGAACCAAGTCTCCCAAAGAATGAAAAGAAACTTCGAAAAAATCTGCCAAATCCACGACTTTCCCTAACCCTATTGCTTCTCACCGACCGAGAAATTCTTCTCGGAGCTCCGTTTGCGTTCAGCCCACCATCCATTTCCGTGTACACCACCGGAAAATGGCTCTCGCCGGCTCTTCGGCCGCCGGAAAATCTACCCACAGCGAATCCCCCACCGGGCAACCTCCAAATAGTTAACCCGATCGCTTCCTCGTCGATCTGCCCCGAAACTCTGCTTTCCAGATCCGAGGGAAGCTCGTGGCGACACACAGGACACGAGTTTCGCATCGAAAGCCATGGAAGAATGCAATCGGAGTGATAGATATGCTTGCACGGCAACTCACGCGCCTCCGCGTGTAGCTCAAACGCCTCTTTGCAAACGGCGCAGTGCGCATCGGTTCCCACCTGCGCCTCTCCGATCTCGACCGTCGGCATCGACTCAATCGCCGCCTTCGACGCCGGGGGATTCTCCGGCCGGCCAAAGCCGTTCATCTCGATCTGCGCGAACTGCTCCAGCAAGCGGTCGAAGCCGGAGCCGAGGAGGAACTCGGACATGGTCGGCGGCAGGGGGCGGAGGCCGGAGCCGTCGCCGTCGTCGTAGTAGAGCTCAAACGTGCTGGCTCCGTCGCGATCGACGGCGGCATCTCCGGGGCCACGAAGAACGATGACAGGGTTAAAAGGGGAGCGGTTGCCGGCGTCGCGGCGTCTCCGGCGAAAGCCTTGCCTCCGGAGGGATAGAGGGTCGTCGTCGGGAAAGGGGCTGAGACGGTGGCGCGGTGACGGGTCGGCGCGGATCTCTTCGACGAAGCCACTTTCGCAGTTGGGACACAGGATGTTGTCGTGGCCGGTGAGATGAACGAAACGGGTGCAGCTGTAGCACCAATACGACGGCGTTCCGGGTTGCGTGTCCGTATTCATACTCTTGGCTATTGACCAGAGAGAGAGAGAGAGAGAAGGAAGATGCTAGAGCGATGAGAAGAGGGGTGCGTGAATTTAAGAGAGGAGCGTGTCTGAACAGTGAAACAAAAGAGGAACGTTTGCGTGTTCGGCCACGCGTTTCAGCTACACGTTAAAACCTATTGCTGTTACTAGAACAGAACATACTTGGCAACTTCTCACTCCTTTTTATATAATTATTTTAATTAATTATGTTTCATTTCAAACTTTTATTTTATTTTCAGAAACAAATACTTGATAATTGTGTACATTAAATAATAAAATATAATATTTATGAGAAGAGGAGAGTGTAATTTAGTTAAGAAAAAGAAAAGGTGACGTGGTTGGTGACTTGCGAAGGACGATTGAGAGAGGAAGAAGAAATAAGAAATAGAGTGTTGACCGTTGACTGCGACGCCGATTTTGATTTGAACGTGATTTTTTCAAATGCGATTACTGTTCCTGTCATCGCCCATAAGATTCCTTAAACATTCATTACTGCATCACTCACACATTTTTCAATTTTAATCATCTTTTTTTTATCAATTAAATTATTTGTTTATATGTTACATGATAATTAACCAATCATATAAATATTTTTAGTGATTTTCGACTATCTAATATTATTTTTCTGGTGTCTATAGTTTTTCATATTAATTTCGTTATTTCAATAATAAAAATAAAATTACGTATCTAATATTATATATTATTTTTTAAAAATTATATAAAAAATAACAATATATTTACCTGATGATTTTTAATATACTCTGAACATACTAATCAATAATATTATTTATCAGCTCTTTCGTAAATATTTTAAAGACAATAATAAACAAGTCTTCAGCTCTTTTTTCTTTTACCTTTTTTTATTTGTTCTAATATTTATCTAAAATTGCATAGTATAAAAATTATTAAATAATTTTTTACTAATATATATATATATATATATATATATATGTATAATATCTTCTAACTTTTAATTGTATACTTTAATTAATTAACTTCATTTTATTTATTAATCTTACTCATTAATGTCAATATTTAAAATAAATATATTTAATGAATAAAGATGCAATTAAATTATAAAGAGATTTGTAATTTAATTTTGCTAGTAAATTTTATAATAATGCAACATTAATACTAAAAGACATTCTACTAAACCTAGTTAAGAAATTTAAAATACTAATTTTATTAAAAAGATATGATAATGCAAAATTTTCGATTCCATATCACACAGGTCACAGCTGTGTGTGCCATTGACCATATAAAGGCCCCACTACAATTCCATTTTCCATGTTCCCCACTTTCACGCCCTCTTTTTCTTTTTCTGTGACTACCGATTTCATTTTTCTTTCCAACTAACACTCATACGTCTTTAATATTTACACAATAACCTTTCATATTTTATAGTTTTCAATTGAATTTATCGTTTAATAAAAAAAAGGGAAATATGATTAATATATTATTGTGTTTTTATTAATATTAATAAAAAGAATGGGAGAATAAATAAGAACTCAAGACAAATTTTATATAATTTTAAATTATAAATTATTTTACCCTTTCATTTTTTTCCTTTCCTCCAATTTTTTAAATTAAACGAATAAAATTAACAAACTACTCATCCATCTCCTTCAACAAAACTCAATTAAGAACATTTTTAAATTGTAAGTATTAAATTATAAAGATGTATTTTATTTTCAAAAATAATTTAACGCAGTTGATTTAACTTTCGAAATTTACAAAACACCTGTTGAATGAAGTCTGTTGACTATGTCAACATAAGGTTAATTTCACTGTAGATCATTTTTGGGTCCATAGCGTGACGATTTAATGGTGTTGCATATTGACGTAAAAAGAAATATTTTTACGAATAAGAAAAGTCAAACTTAGTCACGACTGGTCGGTTGAATAAAACCATGGATTCACATTCACCACTTTCATTTTGATAGATAATGGTGACTTTCAGGCTTCAGCTCCCCAATCTCTTATGGATCAATAATAGTGATAATTGACACGAAAACTAAACTAACGACAGGGAGTAATTTATTCGTATGTTATTCAATTGATTTTTTTAACATGGTTATTTATACACGAAAAAACTTACATATAAGATTTATATATAATTTTTAATATAGTGATAAGATTAAACGTTTTAAAAGCATATATGAGAATTGACATATAACAATTCAATTGAAGGTAAATGAAATCTAAATTTAATTGATATATTTCGATGAGATTTTATATATTAAAAGTATATATTAATTGAAGGTATTAAAAGCATTGAAGTAGTAACAAAAATGATTTAATTGATTGAATGCTATGAAACCTAATCAAGTTCATTCGTGTTGTTTATTGCTAAGTAAAGCTTTTTCTATCCGAACGATGGACAAAAAGATAGTAGATTACTGAATGAAAACAATGTGATCACTAATAACGATTCAATAATGTGACAGACTTTTTGATGTAAGCTTGAAGTAGTCAAATACAAAAGTACTAACTTACACTAAAGACAGGAAAAAAAAATTCTTTTACATATTTTAAAAAAGAATTTGGATCCTTTCTAGTTTTAGAGAAAATTGCATCATGCCATTTAAATTTACTTAAACGAAATAATTTTTACTTAATTTAAAACTTCATCATCTTCCTCTCTAAACTGCAGAAAATTCGAGAAATTTTTGTTTCTTATCAATGACTACCTAATTACTAAAGACTCTTACATATTTCATCTCACCAAATATTTTAAATGTATTGTCTAGTGTGCTACTTATGTTAAATATTAGTGAGGTAGAACCATTTGAAATCAAGTTAAATTATTGAAAATGATAATAAGAATTATATGAATGATAACTTTGAGAAATTTGTTGAGAAATAGTTGTATTATTACATGTTTTAAAATACTTAAGTTTTTGTTGTATGACCATAAAATGTGACCATATGATCTTACACAAATATTTCTCAACTCAACTCTTATGTAGCTTAAAGAGAAAGAAGATGAAGTTTTTAAATTTTTTATAATTTTGGGTTAAGCGAATTTTTTTGACTAGTACCAAAATTACTTTTTGCTAAATTTGCTTAAGCGAATTTAAATTGCAAGTTACAATTTCCTCAAAAATTGTAGAGAATTCAGATCCATTTAAAAATAACTTTTAACGTGTGTCACTAAATTCATGTAAATATATGTAAGTGAGTAGATTTTATATTAATTAATTAATTGATATAAAATAACATTTTTTTATTTATTAATAGTGTCAGTGTTCCTCTTAAATTTAGTAAATAATTTTTTAGTGGTGTTGATATTTATTAATATTAATAGCATTAACGTTTGTCTTTTACATGTTATCTTTGTTAAATCTATAAATGAAAAATATATAGTGTTTATAGTTAATGTTTGTCAATCTTATTCAATATGTAGTGTTCATTATCAATCTTTCATCAATTTTGTTAATCATTGTTAAGTTTATAAATAAAAAATATTTATTAATAAAAAATAAACACAAAATGAAGTAAAATAAAATTATTAATATATCTGATAAGAGTTTGTATTTGTGTTTGTTAATTGTGTAAAAAAACATAAAATGAAGTGAAAATTTTAATAGAAATTTAAGAATGTAAGTGAGAATTCGTGTTCATCAACTCTAATTTATATTATTTTACTAACGCATACTTTTAAAATATTTTATTTTGAATTCATTTTACATCAGTTTTACGAACAAACAATATAAAAAGTTTAAAAATAATGTAAAAAGTGCTTTTTATATCTATTATTTTTAGAATTAATGTAAAAAATATTAGTACACATCTATAAAATATTTTCATTTTCAACTGATTTTATGTTAGTTCAAAAGATAATAATGTAAAAAAAATTTAATTTTAGTTATAAATTTTAAATAAGTATAACTTTTAATATTAAACTCTGATTTATATATATTATATGTCTATTTCATATATTTATCCAAACTTGTTTTTTCAAAACTTTAACTTGTTTTTTATTTTTATAATTTTATTTTTACTTTCTACATTAATTCAGAAAATAACTTATGTATAAAGTATTTTTTATATTGATTAATTTCACAACTAATGTTAAAAACATTATTGTTAATTTTAAAAATGTCATCGCAATTTTTATTAAATCAGGTAGTTATTAACCAATATAAAAATATATTGTAGAAAGTAATTTATTTTGTTTTACTAATATTATGTTTATTTATTCGTCTACAAGAGGGATAATGAGAGAACAATCAATAGTAAAAACTTCATAATTTCTCACAAACCTTGAAGACTGTGATAACACCACAAATCCCCTAAGAACACCTAGATAGATTCACACCAAGTGTGTTGTTCTCGGGAGAGGTAAACCTTATTATGTACCAAGCTAATTTTCCCTAATCCTATACGAGGGATTTGGACCCTAAAGAGTTGTGTAAGTTAGAATAGGCAAGTTAAGGTTAGAAGCAATTAAACAAATGCTCAAAGAGAATGTACTTAAAAGTTAGAGAAAATGAATGTAATTCACTCCGTATTTAAAGGACTAATCTAAGCTTAAAGGGGCACTAAAGGAGATATGAAAATCTCAAGATCACAATCAATAACACCCTAAGAAAAATATTATGATTACACAAATTTAGTGGTCCCCCAATACAAAAAACCTATACCTTGAAGCAACCACTATTTGAAGGGAAAAGGAAAAAAAAAAAAACAACAAACAAACATGTTTAAATATTAAAAGTTCCGACTAGCTAAGGGCACAATACAAACATATGTACTAAGTTAAAAGACAACATAAAAAAAAATGACAAAGGAAGGGAGGTTGTGACTTGTGATAATATGTGTAGTAACTCAAGTTTTAGCAAGTAGAAGTTGTGGGTAGCGAAGCTTTCTATAATATAAGCAACTACCTCAAATAAAAAAGATAGAATTAATTGCTTAAACACTATTGCCACGATGCCAACATTCACATAACTAAGTTGAACAATAGTATAAGCGTCATCACTCTCAAGGTTCCAATAAGTAAGAAGAAATAAATTTCATCCTCTATGGCCTAAGAGAGTGAGAGACTTCCATGTGTAATATTAGAGGTTTCATTTTTCATGAGTCTAAAATGACAAGGACTATCAACTAATTTAAGTTATTATTATGACTTTGACATGTATAATATTCATTGGCCTATTTAAGAAATCGAGTTGAAAGAAAACAAATTGACCATACTCAAAAAATTTGATCGTATGATTACCTTGAAAGCCCACATCAAACTGAAGTCTTATAACCTTAACAATTAAGATAAAATTCTAAGTAATTAATTAACTCTCCACTGGAATGCAACTCAATTCTCAAAATGTTATCCTTTGTTGTATTTAGATTATTATATCAATGTAGTGTACACACTATAAAGGTTTTGTAAAAATACTTAAGTAATAATAATGGTAAGAGAAAGTCAAACTATTCTGAAAAAAACTCGCAAAATATTATTAGCAAATATTCATTGTACTATGCAATTTTTTTCAAATAAAATTTGAAAAGTATTCATAAAAAGTTATTATTATAAGAAAAATATGTATGTTTAATGTAAATAAGCAAGTAATAAAATTGATTCACAATTTTGCAAGTATTTGATTAACAAAATAGTTTTATATTATTATTTTTATTTGCTAATTTTGGTTGTACTCAAGTGAGAGAGCCTGAGAGGTATGCAACCTGAATTATCAATTATTTCTAAATAATTAAAATGTGATTTTTTTTTATCATGCAAAACAAAAATATGTCGTGTGCGGTATATTGAGGGAAAACTCTAGCTGAAGTGAACTTAAACAGAACAAAAAGAAAATCATGCATGTGGAAAAAGTAGTTAACTTTTACGTGTAAATAACCTTAAGAACAGTGAATTTTATTATGACATATAACAATGCTAAACAAGCTATTTTTGCAGTTATGTACTTTGTGAAACAAAAAATTGTTCGTAATTTCCATTTAGATTGAATAAACATTTTTTAAACAAATTAAATTGCATATGCATCATTTTGAGTGGGACATCTGAAGTCAAATGGAGTCACTTTTACTCGTGCAATTAATAAAATTGAACACCCATGCAATGCAGAAATAGCAAGAAAAAAAATCACGCTATTTTTTTATTTTTTATTTTTGGGTACAATGACCAGATAATTCGTCAAAAAATGTGTTTAGCAAGAGATGCATGAATAATTTAGAATATTTTATAATTTTTGTATTTTTATAAAATTTATTAAAATAAAGTTTTTAATTTTTAAAAAATTATTATATAAATTTAAATTTAATTAAAATATAATAATAGTATAAAAATATTATATTGTTATATAATACTGAATAAAAAAATCATCAGTAATAATTAATTTAAAATTTATGTCAACTGTAAATTCTAATTGGTTTATGATATAAAAAGTTTTATATTAACATCATATTAATATTAAATTATATAAAATTTCATGTAATAATAATAAATATTTGATTTTTTTTCAAATGACCGCACAACTCTGTGTGTTGGAAATTATATAAATAAAATTAAAAGCGATCATAGGTAGGTTAAGTTAGGTCAAATTTGATGAAAAAAATTATTCAGTCTAACCTAAACTAATCATCTAACCAGGTGGACTCAAGCCAATTTAGCAATGATGATTTGAGTTAAGCAACAAATTTTATATTTTAAAAATGTAATTTATTCAATTTAATAATTATAAATTGAATTAAAAATATGTATTTATATTTTCAAAAGAAAATATACTTAAATGATAACTATTTTTTATGATTCAAGTTAAGAAATATACACAAAGTTATTTAAATTTATAAAAAGATTATAATTAATAGGATAGAATTAAATAATTTTTATATTAAATTTGTAACTACTAATATTTATAAAAATAATCTGAAAATAAAAAAAATTATAATTAAGTTAATTAAATTAAAAGCCTCAAACTTTATTTTAAAAAATAAAGAAATTAATGAGAACTATTATGATTGAAAAAATATACGAGAAAAGATAAAATTCTTTAATGTTAATTCAATCCAAAATAAAATAAACTAATAGAACCTTAGGAAAAAATAAAATTAATTCATATTTTATTCTAACTTAAAGCCGAAAATGTTGCAAGATAAAAAAAACAATATCTTTATGAAATATGATGCTGTATAATCCCAAACTTCCAAAGCTAGCATGACTCATGCCTGTAATGTTGTTGCCTATTTTTCTCTTTATTTATATATTCAATTATAATGATTATAATGTCTGTTCTTAGATTGATTTATAAATATCTCTACACACCAATATCAAAATATTAACCAAACTAATGCACTTTTTCGCAGACTATACGTGTATTATCAAATTCAAATAAATTGTCTCAGATAGTTTTGATGAAAAAAGAGAACGAAATATATAGACGGGTTGGGAATGCTAATTTTTCAGTTTAAATTAATATGTCATTATTTAATCTATTTAAATTAATATTTTATTTAAAAAACAATCTTCTCTTTCATTAATTTTTCTTCCCTTTAAACTCGTACACCAAAAAAAGGTTAAAAAAAAAACCTATATAATTCATTTTCGCCAATGCGCACCTATCCCCTATCTAGATTCAACTAAACTTATTTATTAAATAGACTAGACATCAAAATTTTAAAGACCAATAAAAAAATTTTAATACCTAAAATATAAAATGAAAATTTTAAATAATATTTTAAAAAATTCACACAATCTAATAATTAGAGTTAATGAAAATTTATTACTGATAATAGACTCTTGACTCCGTTAAGAATACTATAAATAAAAAATATTTACATCAACTCTAAATACTGAATTAAATTAATTAATCATAATAAATACCCTTAAAAAATTATTATTCTTTAATTAGACATCATTTTTAAATAAAAATAATAACTTTTAAAGATAATATAACACTAACTAGGCTCTTTACGTGCACATGAAGGTCGGCTGAGCGAGCCAACCCTATTAATTTCCAGAAAATGTGTCAGCCATTTGCCTTGATAGCCATACAGCATTCCCCAACAAGCGTGAACGTGGCATATTTAGCCAACTGACCCTTTCTTAAAACCTTCACAATTGCTCTCTTCTTGTATATATAAGTGCCCATTGCCATTCCTTCTACTTTACCTCTTCGATGTGGGATCTACTACTATGCAACAGTTGTCATAACCAAATGCAAGAAAAGCATTTAGGCATTTAGCTACTTAAAGTTTTGCCTTCACTTTAAAAAACATGAGGCCTAACATAAAAATTAAGGATGTTGCTCTCTTGTAATGAAAATTATTTTATTTATTAATTTATACATAATACAAATTAAATTTTTTATTATTACAATTCTAATTATTTTTAAGTTTTTAAAATAAATTTTGACAATTTTTATGAATTCAGTTTAATAAACTATCATTATTTTAAATTTTTCAGATGATTTTTATAAATATTAATAGTTACAAATTATAACAAAGATCATAATTATGAAGATTTATAAAAACTAATTTCAAATTTAATTTAATTTTTTAAATTTATTTATTTATTTTTATCTATTAATAATAACTAAAGTAACCAAATTAAAAGTATATATTATATTATTATCAATATATATATATATATATATATATACATGATAATTTTTGTAAATAATTTATTTACAAATCAATAAAAAATTGTAAATAAAATTGTTTATTATTTATGTGGTAAATACAATATTTATTAATACTTTTTTTATACCAATTTTTAATATTTTTATATAATTTTTACACACATCAATATAAAATATTAAATTCTACAAATTTTAACATAATAACATAATTTATTTTATTAATATTATTTAATTAATTTAGAGGACATAAAAATATAATGACGCACTGACAATAATAATTTATTATTTAATTGATCTTTAACTTTTTAATAATATTTTTTTTAATATAAATTTATTTAATTAAAAATAAAATATACTAAATTTTATACTTTTAAATTTCACATGTTTTTTAATTATCATTTTTAAATATTTTTATTTATTAAGTAATAATTAAATTTAAATTTAGTAATATATTTTTTATTATTATTTTATACGTATGATATTTTTTAAATAATATTTTTACTTGCATTTATTTATATTGAAAATATATTTATTATTGTTTTAAAAAATTATTTATATCTCATTTATTAATACTTTTAATTTTTATAGATATTGCATCATTATTATTTTTATTAAGCAAAATGCTTAACTTTTTAGTTAATAATCTAAATAAATAAATAAGATGAAATACCAATTATTAATATGATTTTATTAACTTTAATTTTTAGGGTTGAGTTTAAACATTTACAAATAAAAAAAAATATAAAAAAATATACAATTATTATATTAAAGTTATAAAAATATAATAAATATTTTTCTTTCTAATAAATTTTTTTATAGGACTGAGGTTAACAAAATTTATTAATAAATTATCTTTTAATATTTTTTATAGATCTCTTAAAAATATTTTAATAGTTTAGAGAAAAAATATTTTTTTTAAAATATTTTAAATAAATATTATCTATAATATTAAAATGACAAAGACAATATAGAGTTTAAACAAAAATTAATAAATCATATATATGGGATCATTACAAAATTTATATCTTATTTAAAAGTGTAAAATTTATTAATACATTATTTTTAAGTTAGATAAATTCTTTGACACATTAATTTAATATAAACTTTTTTAATATGTGTAATTTTATTAAGGATAGGAAGTTATATATGATAAAATTTTATAAAAATTATAACTTTTAACTTTGTTAATACATTAAATTTTATAATTTTAGTTAAAATTGAGATATGTAATTTTTTATCCTATATAATATTGTCAAAATAAAAAAAATTATTTAATAAATAGTTCATATAAATAAAAGATGAAAACATATCAATAATTAGTTAAAAAAATTTATATGGCTAAAAATTGTAAGTCAATATCTACTAAAACAAAGAGACGATTTACTCAAATAAATTATTAAGAGCATATGTCTAATTTTTCAATAATAAATCCTTATACTTTATCTAATAGTTTGTTATTATTTTGTTATTTGAATTATTTTAACTCTTTTTGAGAAAATTTTTTTTGGTAATGTTAGACAGGAATAAGAACAAAAAGTAAGAAAAATAATAAAATTATATCTCGATGAACAAAGTTATTACTTCATCTGTTGGAAGAAGTAAAATCAACTTAGCACACTATTTATAAGGCACTACTACAATAAGGTTCTAACTTACAAAAAAAATATACTTGCTAAGATTGACAAAGACATTCCTAAATAGAAGCAATCACTACTAGATACTTATGACAAAGGTCCAAGCTGTAACACCTTAAATTTTCTTTTAACAGTAAACAAATTTTCACGACTGGTAAAAATAAATTCATTTCTATTCTTGAAATTAATAATAGAATAAAGACAAAATTTTATATTTTCCTCTTTTGAAAATTTCATAAGACTCCAAAAGAAGTCAAGCTTCCAAGGGTAAAACTTTGAAACTTTAAAATAATAAAATAAAACTCAACTTTACTTTTAACAAACCATTCAATTCATTTGAAATACATATAAATTTTGAAGTTTCGCTAAGAACATTTCCAAAATATCCTTTACAATCAAAATCTGCTTGAGGATTTATATTGTGAAATATAACATTAAAGTCATTTACAAGCTTTGGTCAACCCAAATTGTAGTTCAATAAAATAATACAATTTCTCAAACTAATTTAATCCCTACAAAGCAGTCTTCCTTCTAACACCTTTGGATTATGATCTTAGAACGGGCCAAATATCTTTATCTCTTCACACCTATTACCTGAAAAATATTAGTAAAAGTGAGTATCTTCCGCTCCACTAAATCTCTGGTTTAACATAAATAAATACGCACATGCACATACAGTACTAAGAATACTACCTAACACGAATTAAATCAACAATAACACGCAAAACATCCAAGTTGTCATGACCATGAAGCATGCACAGAACAAACAATCAATCCTACAGACCATTCCAGATTATATATCTTTCTACTGATTTGCACGTCAAATCAATAGGTCACAACACATGTGTCCTAATATCACTCGTCGATATATTACAACAATATATCATAACAACACTAATCGACATGTTACAATCCATATATTATGACTGCACGATTCCTATACCAATCCATGCACATCATACTTTCACATTTATTTCATTTTTACATTCAATACCCCTGGGATTCCTTGAGGACTTCATAGTTTAGATAGCCGCAGTAACACAGATACACGTGTGCTGACTCAGCCCCTTCTAGCAAAGGTATAGTCAGAAGTCTTGTCAGGAAATGAGTGTGTCGCCTGTGAATGCTTTTATTTTTAGTAAGTCATTGTGCATTATCTACACTAACATCCACCACCCTCATCTCCCCAAGATTTCCCAAATCTTCTCTAGACTCTATAGCCTCAGTTGTATCACTGTAGCTATCTAAACTCTGCCACATTTCTCATTCTTTTCCACACTCTTTTATAGAGTAATGTGTCATGATACGCGACTCTTGACCAAATAAGTTGGTGTATTATAATACATTTATTATGAGTACACCCTCTTGGGTCGTACCACAATACTTGTATTGCAATCACATTCATTCATCTATTCTGGCCCCCATATTATAATCACTTTTATCCAGCACTTCATTTCAGTTCATAACCGATGCACTCACGACACCATAACAATTTACACACGTGCTCTTACCGCATCTAGCCATAGTCACTGTGGCACTGTGATCACATCACACAGAAAACCATTTCTTTATTTGAAAAAAATAGTCAAACAATCATATCAATAATATAGTTTCACTTGTTTAACATACCCAATTATCAAACAACATAGATATATCATGCTTCAAACATCACATCATTCGGTAATTCACGGAACCATCAGCCTACTTGTTCGTTCACAATGCTCTAGCACTTTCCATTACAACCTAGTTCGACCAAAGCCAACATACCTCAATCATCATGGGATATTCATCTAACACAGAAAATCATCATACATCACACAATCAATACAAAGTGCCAGAGGTCAGACACCTCTGGACTTAGCCCATTCGTACAATCCATCACCCACATTTCTCACGACTTAGCCCATTCGTACAATCCATCACCCCAGGGTTTAGCATCATTCAAACTACCCTCAAACCATGTTTTCTCACAGGAAACGTAGTGTTCCGTAAAAAATAGTTTTATTTACAACCTTTATTACCAATTTTGTTTGAAGGATTATCAAAATAATTACCGGTTTCCCATTTTAACTACCCAAGAAAGGTTAGGGTTTGGGATTTACTCCCCTTTACCTTAGAATGGCGACCTACCACGAAATCAACGATAGAATAGCTGCCCACACAGATTTTCGTCCCTAAAACATGGAAATCCCTATGAGAAACTGAGAATACAAGAAAGAGAAACGAGAAATCAAAAACCCTAACTCACAAACTTACCTCCAAGCGTCTCAAACTTGATTTCAACCTTCAATTTAGCTTCCAAACGGCTTTAGAGTCAATTTAATTGGTAAGAGTGGCTTGGGAGTGGAGAGAACTGAGAGGATTTCAAAGGGAGGGATAAGAAATGGATTTTTCGAACCCTAAACTCTTCAAACACCCCTTAGATCGTGACACGCTCGCTACAACGACACACTCTCGCTGCAGCGACGCCCTTTCGCTACAGCGAAAAACTCAGGAAAAATTGCACCCTGGTTTCTGCAGAATAATGCACCCTAAACTGTCGCTACAACGAGAAGGTGATAGTTTCACGCTTTCCTCGTATGACTCTTTCGCTACAGCTAGACATCTCTCGTTGCAGCGAGAACACCCTGTACTAGACACTTAGCCAATTTTTCAATATAGTCCAAAACATATTCAAACACACTTATACGCATCTATATTCATCTCACGCATTTACATCACCACCCAATACACATCATCATCAATAATCAATCATACAAACACATGAAAATTTTCATATATATATATATATATATATATATATATATATATATATACATATATAGTAATTTA